AACCCACCACTTCGTACCTCCTCGTAGGCTTCTTTGGTTAAAAAGAAAATCCTCCATAGAGGGAGTAAACACTCACTCACAACTTGACAGAGTCAGCAACAGCACTATCACTATCATGGCTCTTCCTAGCTTCACAGAGCAGGTGCTCACAGGAGATGCTCCCTGCGCTGTGCCCAGCTAAGGCAGAATGTATGTGGATGAGGACATCCCCAAAGGGGGAAAAATTAAGAGAAGAGAAGTTCGGGGCCTCTGAAATCAAGTTTCTCCGGCTTTCCAACTTTACCAATATTTATAGACACTATCTGTTTATTTTATGAGAACTGATGAAATTTGACCCATTATTTTTGTTATTGTTTTTGGTAACCAGTGAATTGGGATCACTTAGAGCTAGCACTCACCCCCTCTCTTTTTCTGGCCTCAGAGACCCTTAACCTGTCCTTTGCTTTCAGGGGTGCCCTCAATGTCATGAGCAAGAGTCAGCTGGACCTCAGCTTACCTCTGTTTTAACATTATCTCAACAGCTGGATCCAGTTACTAAAAAAAAAACTCAAGAACCCCATGACTCAGCAGAGGAAAGAAGAAGCAACAGGACCTGTTCCAAGCATAGCTTTATGTGAAACCTTCTTCAAAGGCAGTGGGATTATCTCTGATGCTGAAGAAGAGTGTGATGGTTGACTTCCTCATCCTTCCTCTCTAATCACTGTTCAAAACAGGGAAGTGGGGGTGTTTGGCTCCTTGTTACAGTCATCCAACATATTAGAGTTTAGTGATTTGTGACCACCCATGTCAACTTGAATTTAAATTACAATGTGTGCAAATCTGGGCTGCCTAACCTAGATAACCTGCCCCTCAAAGCCAGAGGTATGCTTTCTGGCTTACTTGACAGTAGCTGTTCACTCTGACCACACAAAAAAGTGGTATTTTCTTTTCCAGAAGTAGATTTTTGTTCCTTCCTGCCAAGAACTTTACCAGGCAAGAGAATGAAGTTTGACTTTAGTCTCTAGATTTTTCCACAAATTTCTAAAATCTGTCTCTCTACCCTGGTTATTGCCGTCGCTGTTCCCATTCTTTCCATGTGCCCAAACACTTGGTCTTCCCCGGCACCTACACAGGTTGACTTCATTACTTTCACTGTCTCCATCGCTCGTGCCAATTAGTCACCACCATTAATGTCACCCAAATGTTGGCCTTAACAAAGCCCCAACTGGGTGAGGCCTTGCTCCCAGCACCGCAGGAATTTCCATATTAAGTCTTTCAAGCTCTAAAGCTCTGGAATAGACTAATGGGGAGAAACTGTGTTGGAAAAGACCCCTGAGAGAAGCTGGGAGGGAAAGTATGCCCAGTCACCTTTCAAAATATCCAGCAAGTAGCCACTGGGGAATGTGTGCCCGTTCTTTGAACTCCTGCAAAGTGCCTTTCCTCTGTTCTAAATCCAGGATTGTCTTCCTACAGGGCTTGCTGTTTCTGGATAAATCCTTGGCCTTTGTTCAAGCCCTGGACTGTGTCAGGATGTTCACAAACCCCAGCAGGTAAGCCATGCTAATTGAGCCTTTCCAGCAGAATCCTTTTTCTGAGATACAGACTCCAAATTCCAACCAGGGCATGCATGTGTCTTTAGCAGTAGACAAGGCTGCAGTACCACACTCCCATTTCAACACCCATCTTTTGAAGGAAGGTCCCTTGTACCTCTACCACCACAGTCATTGGCTGCTGGGTTCTTTCCTGAAGCACTTTATTTTGGGTTTCATATCATACCGTGGACTCTTCTTTGTGGACTAAGCTGGAAAAACATTTTTCCTTGCCTAAGCATTTGTCTCATCTCTGTTTCAGATCTTTAACCCAGCACTGAAGGGGAGAGAAAGACAACAAGAAACCAGGAGGAAGGCCAGGCTCCTGCTCTTAGTCCCAGTCCTTGCTGGGTGTGGATAATGCACTACCTCCCCACTCTGAGCCCCTTTCCTCTCTTCCAGTTTTCAGAGAATGAGTTTTGCATCATCTGCCTCCTTGAGTGTGGCAGGAGACTAACACTATTTTCCTAAATACATTTCCAAAATTAAACCCTTTCCCCTGATTATTTTTTCTGGTTGTCAAGTGAGCCTTTGTTGAAATGTAGCTAACTTACTGGGCATTCCTCCATATCACTATTGATGTCTTCTGTGATGCTATGAAGGTGACAGTTATCAGCATCACAGCCCACAGACTATGCAGTCCCCAGCAGCTCTTCAGTAGCTCCAGAGAGAGCTCTCCAGCTAAAGATTAACATCATATCTGCTGGACAATGTTGGCAACATCATCAAAAATAATATTTCCACTGAGCTTACTGTTTTCCTGCTTCTTTCTGTCTTTTTCTGCTTCTTGAGGGTTTTGATCATCAAACCAGACACAGAAGGTGTGCCCTCCATCTTTATCTTTTCTGAATGGTCCACCATAATCCTTAGACCCTTCCAGTCACTGGCTGCCAAGGCAATGTCACCACTAACCTTTTGTACAGGTGAACCAAGGAGACCAAGGACAGACATGGCCCTGATTTTCTCAATAGTGCACCTCATGTAAAGGACTTTAATCTTTCGGGGTGTCATTGTATTACAGTGGCATTGTAGATATGGCTGCTGTTGGATGAAGCTGAACGTAAAGGCCAAAGAAAATCATACCTTCACCTCCACCAAGGAAAAAGAAGAAAGACTCCCATATATTTTTATACAGTCTTTATCTCTTCATTGCATGTCCACTTAATGGGTTGTCTAAGTCACAACTAAGTCTGAGTAAGGCAAAGTGGCATTATTCCCATTTTAAAGATGAGAAAATAGACACAGAATCCTGGTGTAACTTAGTCAAATGACCACTGCCAGAGGACAGGACCTGAAATGATAGAATACACCACATATATGTTTTGGTGGAAGGGTCCCAACCTAAAGCTTGGATATCTGAAAGCTTAGTCTAAACTCTGACTGCTCCACCTGGACATCAGCCCTGGTTACTTGGGACTCAAGGTAGAGGAAAAGTGACAAAGACAAATGACTAGAGAAACCCCACCAGGCCATGTATAAAAGCTCATGTATAATGACTGAATCTAATTTGTGCTGCAGTAACAGAATACCTGAGACTGAGTACTTTATAAAGAACAGAGATGTGTTTCTTACAGTATTGGAGGCTGAGAAGTCCAAGGTCAAAGGGCCTACATATGGTGAGGGCCTCCTTGCTTCATCTTCCCATGACAGAAAGCCAAGTGCACACATGTGCTCCTGGAGGGAAGGGGAAGAGGGCTGAACTCTGTCAGGAAGCCATTCCCATCATAGCTTATAACTAACCCATGCCTGAGATAACTCACTTGTGCAAGTACCAGCATGAATCCATTCATGAAAGCAGAGCACTCATGACCTAATCACCTCTTACAGGTCCTACCTGAACACCTCTGCTGTATCAAGGACTAAGTTTCCAGCAAATAAACTTTGGGGGACACATTCAAACCATACCACAGGCTTAAGTATTCAAAAGAAATATGAATAAATAACAGTTTTTTAAAAGGTATGTATTGACTTATGAAACCCAAATGTTGAAAGGTGCTCTGGCCCCAGGCCCAGTTGGCTCTCTTCTCCTCCTGGCTCTCACTTCTTCAGGTTGGCAGTGAGGTCCTCAAGGACAACAAAGACTGTCCACGGCAGCTCCAGGCTCACAGGCCAGAAGCTTTGCACCTCCAGCAAAAAGACAGCTGCTTCATCAAGTGCATATGGGAACTCTGATTGCCCAACCCTAACGGCACATGTCCCGCCTCCATGAATCACTGCACTCTGATTGGTCAGGTTAGGTCACTGTGTTTTCTGCAGCACCATTGGGCTAGCATCTGAAGCTTCAGTCAAGTCCAGTGAGAGCAACCATGAGCACTGCTCAGGCTACCTACACAGGATGTTGCTGCACGGTAGGGTTGCTTGAAAGTTAGCCCCTCGCACACTCAGGAGTACCTCTACTGTGAGATTCCCCTGATGCTGCTCCCAGAAATACCACAGTGATGTGCTCCAGGTAAGGTACCCTGGAGTTTTGGGCCTCATTCCAGGACAAAACTCTTGGGAGGAACTTCAGGTCCTTCCAGGCCTGAGCAGCACAGTTCTTCCATACAGGAATTGTCAAAAACACCATCTGAAGTCACATCGTTTCATTGTCTACTATTTCCTGATTGCTTTCTCCAGTATAACTGTCACCCCCGTGAGGTTTGAGACTGAATGTTTTCTTGCCTGCTGATCCTCAGCACCAAGCATAGGGAGTACCTGGCACAAGGTAAGATTCAGTAAACACTTATGCTTGCACAGCTGAAACCAAGAGTGCCTCTAAGTATTATTTCTGTACTCCTTCTCCTCCCACTCTTTGAGCCCCAGGGACAAGCTCAGGCCAACCGTGAGCAGACATTCTTTCCTTGGCTCCCTGAGCACAAAGGAAACCCTCCCAGTATAGCTCTCACCTATTCAGGTTTCAGGTACAGAGAGGCCCTGCACTCTCTCCCACCTTTCTGGGACTTGACTCCTGGCTAAAGTTAAGCCTTGGAGGCCTGCCTGTTTAAGTGTGATGCTCCTAAGGGGAGAACAGCTAGGAACGGTTGCAAGTGATATACTAAAGCACTGGTGCCCAGATCACGTGGTTCTAAATGGATCAGCAGGAGGCCAGAGCATCAGGAGGATTCTGGAGCTCATGTGGGAGGAAGTCCTGCAGGTAGGAGGAGGGAAGAGAGAACAGGAAGGAAAAAAAGCAAATGACCTGAGCAAAGCTGTTTCCCTTGTCTAGACCTCCTGTGTCCTCTGTCTGTGGGAGATGAGAAGGGGTTAGAGGAGGTGGCCCCCATTGTCTGCCTTTCTGCACAGACACCTGTAATCACAGGTTCCATCAGATTCCCTGTCCCTCTGTGGAAGCTGCTCGCCACAGTGAGAACCTCAGCTCCAGAGTGGAGTTGCCTAGCAACTCAGAGTCCTGAAAAGAAAGGAAGAAAACAGAGGAGCCAGACAGGAAAGGGCAGAGGGAGTAGGCCTGGCAGAGGCAGGAAGTAATCAGGTAAAAACAGTGTTAGGCACAGGCTCCAAACGGGGCATATTCTCAAGTGACTAAGGCCCTCTACCCCAGCCTCCTGCTGTTCTCCGCCCTCTGTTGGATACTTGACACTCAATCCCTGGAGATACTTCCCTTTCTAACCACTTACTTCCCTTCAAATTATAAATCCCTGGGAAGGATCTGCCCACTGAGCTATCCCACTTCAGGGTGCAAGGAGCCTATCAAACCCTGTTGTGGAAGGGGAAGGAGAAATGGGTAATGCATTCTAATCCCTCCTGCACTTTTCATTCTGTCAGTATCAGTTCAGTCCCTTCTGGTCTTCTTCAGTAAAAATCTATCCACCAGCACAGGGCAAAGATGTCAGGTGTGAGTGTTTGACAACCATCTGTATGGCACTCAGTGACTGCTTACTTCAAGGAGCCTAAGCTCTGTCTAAAATAATCCCCAGTAATAAGTTTTTGTGAAAGTTAACACATGGTGCAATATTTGGCACATAGAGAGCATACAGTATATACCAGTTTCCCCTCCCAAAGGCTGAAGTCATAATGTTAAGGTTGTGGGGACTCCTGAGGCTTAGGCACCCCTCCCCACTTTGGTGCAAACTTACCAGACTGACAATGGAATTGAAATTAGTTCTAAGCCTACAGAAACCCCTGGAAGCCAACTTTGACTTCCTTCCTTGTTCTTGGAGAATGCATTACCAGTGGGTAAGCCAGTACAAGGGCACAATGCACTGTTCCTGTATCAACCAGGTTTCAATTGTCTTTATTTCTCTAGCGCTATTGCGGCCAGTCTTGAATAGGGTTGAATGTGATGGGTCATTCCAGTTGACCTGTGATGGTGCTTACGCTCAGTCTAACATCATGGAAGTGAGTGTCTAAGAATTTACCTAGGACAAGGTTGACCAGTGTCTGGCCAGTGTGAGATGGCTGGGCAAAACCTGGGCTTCATCTTTGATCTGTAAGTCAGGTATTATGACCAGAAATTGGCTAACAAATGGCTTTATTTTGTAAACTAACAACTTTGTGTATAGCCATGTAATCTATCCTCTACTTAGCAAGCTGGACCTAGTTCTATACTTTACTATATAAGTGATACATGGAAAAAGAAAGAAGATTGCTCCTGCCTGAGTTTTCATCCCAGTAGAAGGACATTTTAAACAGAACATTATTCAAATTCAGAGAGAGCAGTTCCTCTTGTCAGGGCAGGATCAGTTCAGAGCAGGAACTGGATACAGACTGTTAGCAAAGAAGTATCCGGGGCAGGGAGCACTTTTTAAAGCTCCCTATCCCCACCCAAATTGGTAAAGAGCAATTACAAAGGTAATTTTGCCTTTTCCAAATTCCACATTCCTAGGATTCCAACTGAACCCTAGAAGAAGGCATACCTAAGGATGGAGAGAAAAGTGACAGCCAAACAAGGACCTCAAAGCTTGAAGAATATTAGAGCTGATGGAGAATTGACAGGAGAGAAGAGAAGTATGCCCCTTCTGGCATTTTTACTGCTACCTGAGTGGGTGTCTGATTAGCAGTCTTTGACGTCAGCTTGGCTTGGAGTCTTCATTCATCCCTTGCACTCAAATTAAAGTAGTTCTATCTTCCACCTTACCAAGGCTTGTGTGATTTTGAGTGTGTAAGTGTGTGTACATGTGCATGTGTGCATGTGTGTGTGAGCTGGAGGAAATGTCTGTGTGAGCTGCAAAGGAATGAAGGGGCATCCACAGTGCGTGCAGTAATGCCTCATGGTAAGTGCATGCAAACCTGTGGATACATGATGGCAAAAATTCTGTTTTGGTTTTCTTCCCCCCTTTAAGTTTATTGGTATATTTAAAGCAAACAATACAGTTACATTTCTCATTGGGATCTTGAACCTTTACATGATATGTCTTGGTTCTTATTTTTCCCCATACCCTAGCCTCCCTTCACCCACTTCACCCTTCCCTATTTACAAAGACTTTGTTTCCATTTTTTTCCTTTTTCACATTTTTTCTTTTCCATTGTTTCCTTTCCCCTTCCTGTCAGCCATTTTCTTCCTATTTCACACTATCAATCATGGCAAGAACTCTGGTAGTAAACCAAGAACAAGCTCAAAAGTCAGGAGTTGGCAGAAGCTTTGGAAACGGCTGACCATTGTATTTCTTTCAGAGTCTCTGTCCAGCTTTATGCTGCTATATGTGTTTGCAGCAGAGGGATGATCTGAGCCCCTTTTGCCTGAGCTACCTGAAGACATCATGGTGATTATCAAGCATCATCACCTGGACTGTGGCCATATTTCAGTTTTGTTAAGTGGGCTCATTTCCACTGTGGAGGGTATCCACTTTCAGGGCAAGTCAGAAGACAATGGGCATCACAACTTAAAGGAGTAAACATTTTTATGGATCCCGCTTCCAAGGTCAGAGGTATTAGTCCATGGTGGTCTGGGAGCAAAGCATCGTGGTGGAAGGGTGTGGTGGAGGTGGGGGCAGGGACCAGATATAGTGACCTAGGCCACGCTCCTGACCCACTCAGACACACCCAGGTATGTTTACTAACCTGCCAGATGTCCCTCAAGCCAACCAAGTTGACAGTCACGATTGAACACTACAGGAAGAAACAGAATCATCTTCTAAAAGGACTCAGTTCCAAGTTCTTATTTCTGAGGATAATAGGATCTCAGCCATAATCTGAACACATGGCTGTCTGTGTGGAGACCTTGGAAGTACAAGTTCATTGCCTGTGTCAGCACTGTTCAAGACAACTACCATGCAAGGCACAGATGAGAGCCACAGGAAATGTTTACTAGTAGTCACGTTTTTAAAAAGTGAAAAGCATCAGGTGAAATTAGTTTTTTTAATTTTTAAAATTTAATTCCATGTCTCTAAAATGTTCTAATTTTGAAATATCTTAATTACCAAAATTATTAATGAGATATTTTACATACTCACCCCTGAAATCCTTAGTTTATTTATACTTAAAGCCTATCATGATTAAAATCAGCTGCTTTTCAAATGTTTAATAGCTCCACGTGGCTGGAGCCACCAAACTGAACAGCATAGGACTAAAAGATCTCTCTCCCCTGAAACTCTGTCCTTGGAGTTGAAGGAGTGGATTGAGGGTTGTTACTCATTTTTGGCTCAGATCCTGTGTGTGCGTGTGTGTGTGTGTGTGTGTGTGTACCTACCTCATTAGGTAGTTTATACTGGCCTTGAACTCACTAAGTCACCCAGACTGAACTCATGGCAGTCCACCTGCCTCAACCTCCTGAGTGCCGGGAATACATACAGGTAGAGCCACCACTCTGGGCTTAAGTGTTTAGTGTGAAACTAATTTTAACTGACTCTTTTCATTTTTAAAATTGTGGATACTAGTAAACTTTACAATTTATATGGCTTATATATGTGGCTTGCCTGATAGCTTTATTTAAATCATGTATCAACCTTTAACAAATATGATTAAATTTCTTAAACTATTTCTGACATGGCTGGAGTAGACATAGGATCAGTGACTCAGTGGCACTCATGGGTTTGGATATCAAAAGTAGCTAGAAGGCAGCTATAGGGGTGCATCATCTAAACAGCACTGAGCTGTGTGCTAGAACACGCAGTTGAAATGAGGCTGTAAGTGGGATCAAGGAAATGCCTTCACCATTTCCCTACCACTGAAGAAGAGTATAGGATTGGAGCTGGCTGCCTAGATTTACTTACTTAGCTACATAGCTTTAAAGTAAATCACAAATATTTCGAACCTCCTTCCTTTCTTATAACTTGGTGATACTAACCTCTTTCTTGTTCTCCTCAAAGAAGTATTGTGAGTCTCAAGTTATATTATTCACAAGAAGTGGTTTCAAGTAAACACTGAAGTCCTCAGCTCATGTGAATTGCATGTCAGCTCTGGAATACTCCAGCATCTCTGCTTTAGAGTTAACTCAAGGGAGGTAGGTCTTATTAAGGGCTGGGTCCTACATCAAGGACTGCAGCCAGGGAGAAGTTACCTGAATCAGAAAACAATGGAAAACTCATATAGAAAATGTGTGGTGCCAGCTTAGCAGGATACTGAGGGTTCGAAGAGGCCGAGAAGGGGAAGGACAGTGTTTCTGGTACAAGATAGGGTACAGACAGAGGCTGGGAGTGGGGATGAAAAGTCACATCCTGAGAGATTTTGGAACCTCCTAAGCAAGACAAAAGGGAGGATCAAAGAAGGATGGACAACGAGGTCCCTCATTTTTATAATTAAGATAGTTCAAAATTAGAACATTTTAGAGACATGGAATTAAATTTTAAAAATTAAAAAACTAATTTCACCTGATGCTTTTCACTTTTTAAAAACGTGACTACTAGTAAACATTTCCTATGGCTCTCATCTGTGCCTTGCATGGTAGTTGTCTTGAACAGTGCTGACACAGACAATGAACTTGTACTTCCAGGGTCTCCACACAGACAGCCATGTGTTCAGATTATGGCTGAGGTCCTGTTATCCTCAGAAATAAGAACTTGGAACTGAGTCCTTTTAGAAGATGATTCTGTTTCTTCCTGTAGTGTTCAATCGTGACTGTCAACTTGGTTGGCTTGAGAGACATCTGGCAGATTAGTAAACATACCTGGGTGTGTCTGAGTGGGTCAGGAGCATGGCCTAGGTCATTATATCTGGTCCCTGGTGCCTCTCTCTCTCTCTCCCTCTCTCCCTCCCTCCCTCCCTCTCTCCTCCTTCCTCGCTGTCATGGAATGACCATCTCCCTCCACCATACCCTTCCACCATGATGCTTTGCTCCCAGCCCACCATTGACTAAAACCTCTGACCCTGGAACTGGATCCATAATAAATCCTTGCCCCTTTAAGTTGTGTATCTTAGTCATTTTGTTTCAGCAATGATAAAGCTGACCAAAACACACATCCCAAAAGTCACTCCCAGCTGTCAGCTTCTGAATCTTCCCAAGACTGAGGATAGCCTCACTAGAAACATGCAGCATCCACAGCTAAACCCAGACTGAGGTCCCTGAGCCAGGCTCACTGCCAGTGCTGGGAGTACCTCGAATGCCTCTTCTTCTAGCATCCCCTGGCCTGCCCTGAGGCAGGACCCCTGATTAAAGTCATGCTTTAAATTCCCCAGAGTGCCATAAGGCACTAAGTGACTGCACTGTCCATGGAATCTCCAATGTCTTCTCAAAGGTGGCTGGCTTTGATCAAAACAAAAGATATCAGAACTAAAGACTGTTTAAATCAAGGTTAGTGTCACTTGGTTAGAGTGGAATCCAGAGTCTACACTGATTGGTTCTTTTGCTTGAAGGGAAAAGCTATTTCCCTTAAATAGTATAATCCAAACCTCATAAGGTGGCACTGTAGGGTGAGTCAATTTATAAAAAGCGGCTTCCATGTAAGGTTTCAAGTATGCCTCCAAAATTCATCTTTTCTTAAAGGTCTAGACACTATTACCAGCATGATGAAAGGAAGAAGAAACTACTCCCTCCTCAATACTCAAGAGACATACTGATTGGACCCAGCTCGGGTGAGTTCATGGACACAGACTATGGAGCTGAAGCCAGTAGTCAAGTCCTGGACAAACAAAGAGAGTCACCTTCCTGCTCATGGTGTATCTTTTTTACGATTGCCCACATCTGTCTCTGATCTTACAGCGCCATCATCTCCTGATAAGAAAGAAAGTCCTTGGAACTATAGCTCACTTCCATAGAGCCCATGTAAGCTAGAGAAAGCCACCCTTGGAGTCACTGCTGGTTTCAGCTCCATTAAGAAGCTCTGACTGAAGTAAAAACAGAAACTCATCAACAGATGAGTTTTCCAAGAGAGTGAAACCTCCAGGCCCCAGAAACATGAATCCACAAAGCTAAGAAAGTCTGAAGATCCTAAGTTTCCCCTCACCCTTAGGGTGGCAAAGGGGGTACAAATGATGTCATCTCATATGATTAAGAATATATTGTGTAAATAGTACCTAGAAAATAGAATAAAATATAAACTAAAAATAAATGGTTGAGTCAACTCATCTTTAATGCTTTTCTGTGTAACATCTATTTTGTATAATGCTATACGACTTTCATACTCCGACAGCAAATTTAACCTTGGCCACAAGTTATGATGTACATTACAATACACTTTTATTATGTTACACAGTATTGTGGGTTTTTTTTTAATCTATTGCTAAGCCCCTAACAGTATGTCTGCGTCAGGGAAGCCCATCTGTCACAACCACAGTGGAGACATTATTATGTAAATAGTTCTAGGGCCTCCTTTTGGGGGAATTTAATATACTGTCCTAATATCCCAGCTGGAAAAAAATGTTTATGAAAAAAACTTTTTGGTTTGTTTCATTTGTAGAGAAAGGCAGGTTGAGTTGCTAAGGGTTTTGTTTTTTAAAATAGTCCAAATCTCTTTTCTTATGTCTCTCACTCACAATGTCTTTAAAAGCTAATGATACGGCTCCTAATAAAATAAAATACATGAGAGACTTCTTTTAAACACAGCAGCTGAAGTATAGAGCATTAATATCGCACAGCCTAGCGCATTAGCCATCTTTTCTATATTACAGTCATATTTCAATAAACTAAGTTTTCTTAGCAGGTGCCACCTTGGATTATTTCTTTATTAGATGGACTTATAAAATATGCAGAATGGTGTGCTGAATTTTTTGTTATTTATTGCCAGTTTTAAACCTTTGCCAAAATCCATACATCTGAATCTTCCTCTTTGGAGGAGGAGAGGCAATATCTGGAAAGACAGGCAGGCAGGCAGGCACTCATGCTTACAGGACTGAGCCCTAGATGGCTGAAGGCATGAGGGTGGGACCGAATGAAGTGGTTTGCAAATGGAAGATGCCAGTTTGCCTGGCTTCTTCTTGCATCTTAATTAAATGAGTCAAGGTTTTAGAGCAGCACCCAAAAAAAGGGCTAATCACCAGTGGGAGCTGGGTGGCCTGGACGTCCCAGCCCCACATCACACAGACCCTAGCTTGAGTCATCGGGGCATCAAAAGTTCACTGAGCACCAACCAAGCAGTGAGTGTTTGGAGAAAATCAAAAGACTCTAATCACACATTCAAGGGCATCCAGTATGGTTGGAAAGAGTACAACTTGGAAATAAAGTGGTCCTGCGACCATATGAGTGTTTCACACCAGGAACTGCAGGAGTTGAATGGGGGAGCTGTCATTATCAAGGATACTCACAGGACTGAATTATCAAGGGAAGCTTCCTAAAGGTCCTGCTGGGCCTTAAAATAGAAGGGGGATTAGGTGGTTGGAGTGGAGGGAAGATGCTTCCAGATACCACACGGGGAGCGTGCATTTCTATCTGCTCCAGGCAAGAGAAAAGGCACAATGCAGATAGATCTGAAGGCAGAAAAATGGAAGAGCTGAGAAGGAGTGCATCAATAAGTTTCCCATATTAGTTTGCTCAGGTCAAGAAGGTTCTGGAAAACAGGTGGAGTGAATCGGTTTGGCATCTGTTTTATGAGGGGCCGAGCAGCTTCCAAGGAGAACCACCTTAAAATAAGCAAGAGTCAGAAAGCCATATTTGGTCAGAGAGGAGGAAAGCAGGAGTAGTCTGCGAAAGAAGGTCATTCTGAGGGCAGCATGATGCTTGTCACTGATGCGTCTCCCAGCCAAGTCTCAGGTCTAAGGGTGAAACTGAACCAAAAGAAAAATCTGTACCATCAAAATTGCACCAGCCATCACATCACAGACTCTTCTACACGTGACCCAGCACAAGCATGGGTAGTGAGGCAGCCACTGACAGGTTCCTTTTCCACCACACTTCTAACCCTAGAGTCACTGCAGAGCATGGCAAAAGTGGCCTTAGTGGCATATGACACCATGGGCAGATTGCAATGGATCTGGAGCAAGTGGATATAGTGGCTGAGAGTAGAGCCATGAGGAAGCAGGATGCTCAACAAAAGTGACAACAGTGCCTGGTTAGTGGGGCCACCAGCCAGAGGAGTGTACACATGAAATGCCATCTGGGGAGCTAAGTGTCTTAGGAGGGCATTTGTGCGGTTCAGCAGGTGGCGATAGTGACTGTAATGTGGTATGCCCACCAGCACATGTCCTCATCGTACATAGATAAGGGCAAATGAAGGACTGAACAGTAAGTTCTCTGGGGCACAGAAAAAGGAACAATGGGCTAAGGGTAGGCAGTATAAGTATACTATGCCAGTATAAGGGCCATGTGTGCAACCAGCCAACCTTCTGTACTCCATAGTCCTCTGTAAGTATCCAGCTGAGCCCTTTTACAACTCTTCCTCGCTCACCAAAGCTGTTTGCCTGCCTCTGCCTCTTGAAAAAAGCTTGTTCAGGTCAGACCTAGAAAAATGAGAGCCCAGTAAAGATTCCTATAGCTTAGATAAACTGATCACTCACTAAGTAACTTCCTCAACATGGAGTGTATCCTTTGAAAGTGTCAGGGAAGATCAAGACAGGCCCCATCTGGCCAACAGGAGCCCCAGACCACCCAAGGAAAGGAGTCTGCATGAGATTTGGCTAATCTGGTTCTTCCTGGGGACCTTGTAGTAGCTCTTAACAGCCAAGGAGATGGATAGATGTGAGGAGGAGGAAGAGGAGGAGGTGGAGGAGGAGGAGGAGGAAGAGGAGGAGAAATCTTCCCTGAGGGACTGAGTTGGAGTTGCCTCTGAAAAGTGATAAGAATTTGATTTGAGAATTGAGGGAGTTCCACTGGGGGCAGAGGATGACAGTGTCCTGGGTTCAAGTCACACAAAGTGGCACAGCCTGGTCTGGATGCCTAGTACTGTCACCTCAAGGACATCTTCTCAGTTACCATGGGAGTCAAAGAAGAAGAGCTGAAAGAAGAGGAAAAGAAAGGAGCAACTCATCATCTGAAGAAATGGTAGGGCAGGATTTGCCAAAGAGCTGAACAAACAAACAAACAGAAACTTTCTTCATCTAATTAACAGTCAGAACCTTCCAGAACATGTGGCAGTCTCACAGAGACTAATTACCTACCCACTGGGAGGCTGTGGGGCAGCTGTAGAGGTTGATGCCTGGGGATGGGCAACCCTGCAAGGGACTGAAAGGACACTATAGAAGCCAGGAAGGCCCTGAGGACACACTTTTCCTCCTTCTTAGTCTGGAGGTTGGTTCTGATACCTGACTCTGTCCAACACCTGAAGCTCAGCTAGACACCCATTTAGGGACTTCTCCAATAAAATACTGGAGCTAAAGGAAAGCAGCAAGAGGAGGGAATAATAGCTTCCTAGTTCTACCTGAACTCTATCCAAACTCAGCCATAAGATAACAAAGAATGCTAAAATAAGATTGCACAAAATATCTCTTCTCCCCCAAATCATCAGGAAGAGGCTTGAGCATCTTATTCTACACATGATGGGGTTGATGTTCACAGATGACCCACAACTTGCTAAGACCACACAGAAACTCCAGCTCCCATTTCCCTACTCTTAGAGCTAAAATTATGCAAGTCGAGGTCAAGGGAGTGTTGTTGCAGCTGGTCAGCTGCTCCTGAGTCTGAAGTCATGATGCCCAAAAGCAAAGGCTTCTTCCCTCAACTGACCCCAGGGCTGGCCATGTCCAAAGCTGATTTAGCTATTTTTGTGTAAGTGGCTGATTAGTAAGAGGAAAAGTAAGCACTATGGGAGGGGCATAAGTGGTCAGGTATGCTAATGTTTGAGGGAGAAGTCCAGGGAAGAGGCAGCTCCATTTGGAAACATCCCTACTAGGATGCAGATGTTACAGCAGCTGGCTGGGCAGCAGGCCTGGCAGGAAACTCCACAACCCACAGCCCCCTTCTTGCCCTTTTACTCTGCTCTTCTCCCTCCCTCCCCGACTACCTTTTCCTCTCGCCCCTTTCTCTTTCCTTCCTGCATTTCCCACACCTCCACCTTCCTGACACTCTTGCTCCTTTCTCTGTCTGGCAACAAATCTCTCCTTCTCTCTCCCTCTCCCTCCTACACCAACCCTGTGTATGGCTATTCTGGTGCTGAGTAGCTCATCTGGGAAGAAGAGCCTATCTTGCAGTCAGAATCTTAGTCACTCTCTTCTAGCCAAAACCAGGAAGTGCAGACACAAGCAAAATATCCCCAAGAAAAGAGAAGAAAAGAATCTTATCTAGGGCCATGCTTCATTTTCACATTCCCTCCCTATAATGGAAGGGAAAGGAGGGAAGATAATCAACCCAATAAACAACCAGAATGCATCTCACAGGACACAGATGTGAAATGACTTGCTTTTCCCCCATCTTTGTTTTCAAACAGGCCCGGTCAAATCCCCTTTCCCATCCTTAATGACAACCCAAGCATATCTCATTGCTGTCTAATCACTTCTAATTATTAAAAAGTCCAAATGAGCTGATCCTTGCTTAGAACTTAGCACCTCCTGAGTTCCTTTTCAGCTTTCAATTCTATAGAGACTCTACACAGTTATCTCCTCCAACCAGATACACCCATGCCTATGCAGGCAGGGACCCAAGTCTCATTCTGTCTCTCTTCAAGTGTGTATATTACAGAGTGAAGCTGGGAGACTCAGCTAGCAAAAAAAAAAAAAAAAATCTTTTTACAGATTAGTCAACATTTCTCAGGACCAGGGCCAGAAACCTAGGCTGGACTCTTTACTGGGTCTGAGAAAGAGAGCGGAAGGACACGACGTGAATTTTGTCCATGCCCAATTCTAGAGTTGGGTTACTCAGAGCAAACTCCACCAAAAAGAACAGGTGGTATCTGGAAAGTAATTTCCTTACTGTGATATTTTTGTTTCCTAAAGTCACAAACCACACATCAACCACACAAGCCATCTCTAAGAGATGGAGCAAAATTTGCAATATCATTCTCCTACCACATTTTGGAGAA